CTGTACAAGGTCTTATTTGCCTTCTGCTAAGGAGCCTGTCCTTGGCAGTGCATGATGTCTCAGACAGTAGTTACTTTTGGTGGGCAAAACCTACCTTGTTTTTTATGGATAGAAAAGATCTTTAATCCATTGAGTTACATATTTTAGACTCACAAAGATGAAGGAGATTCACCAGAACAACCTTCATTTTTGAAAAATGTTTTCGTTGGTAGAATTCCAGGTTGACTTTCCCCCCCTTTTAATACGTTAAAGATGTCATTCCATTTTTTCTAATATGCATTGTTTTAGTTGAAAAGTTAGCTGTCATTCTTGTTGTCATTTCTCTGTGTATAATGTGTCTTTCCTTCTTTTCTGTTTTAGGATTTTCTTTTTTTAGCAGTTTTACTATAGTATACCTAGGTATGGTTCTGTGTATTTGTCTTGCTTGGGATTCACTGAGCTTTTTGGTTCTGCAGGTTTGTTGTTTTTGATCAAATTTTGGAAATTTTAGCTAATATTTCTTCAAATAATTTTTATGTTCAGTCCATTTATGGTGGTTCATGCTTATAATCCCAGAACATTGGAAGGCCAAGGCAAGGATTTTAAGGCCAGGAGTTTGATACCAGCTTGAGCAACATAGTGAGCTCTCATCTCTAAGAAATATAAAAATTAGCTACATGTGATGGTACATGCCTATAGTCCCAGCTCTTTTGAGGCTGAGGCAAAAGAATCATTTGAATCCAGGTGTTCAAGGCTGCAGTGAGCTATGAACATGCCACTGTACTTTCTCCTGGGTGACAGAGTAAGAACCTATCAAAAAAAAAATTTTTTTTTTAAATATCCCATTCTCTTGTTTCTCTTCATCTGGAATTCCTATTACATATATGTTAAACTGTTTGATGCTGTTCCATAGTATTCAGCACCATAGTGTTGTTATTTTCCAATCTTGACTTTAATCTTGATAACTCTATTTACTGTGTCAAGTATACATTTATTCCTTCCCTGCCTCCCTCCCTTCATTCCTTCCTTCTTTTCTTCTCACTCTGTCACCTGCGCAGAGTGCTGTGGGGTCAGCCTAGCTCATAGAAACCTCAAACTCCTGGGGTTCAGGTTTTCTCCTGCCTTAGCCTCCCAAGTAGCTGGGACTACAGGTGCCCACCTCAACACCCAGCTAATTTTCCTATTTTTTGTAGTGACAGGGTCTCACTCTTGCTTAGGCTGGTCTCCAACTCCTGAGCTCAAGGGATTCACCCACCTCAGCCACCCAGAGTCTGGGATTATAGGCATGAGCCTTTGCCTTCTGAGTAGCTGGGACAATAGGTACATGCTCCTGGCCTCAAGTAATCCTCCACATTGGCCTCCCAAAGTGCTGGGATTATAAGTGAGCCACCATGCCCAGCAAATTTTATAGCTTTGTGTTTGCATTTAGATCTATGATCTACTTTTGAGTTAATTTTTATGAAAGATGTAAGTTCAGTGCCTATATTCATCTATTATTGTTGCATATGGATATGCATATCAAATTACTCCAACATCAATTTGTTTAAAAGACTATCTTTTCTTCATTAAATTGCCCTTTCTCCTTTGTCAAAGGTCAAATGGATGTCATATTGTTTCAGCAGCAGTGTTTTTTAAAAGGACTGTCTTTTCTTCATTCAATTACCCTTTCTCCTTTGTCAAAGATTAAAAGACTATATTTTTCTAGGTCTTTTTCTGGGATCTATGTTTTGTTCCATTGGTCTGTTTGTCTGGTTTTTTTTTTTTTTCCCCACCAATACCACACAGTCTTGATTATTGTTGCTTTATAGTAAGTCATGAAGTTGCTAGTGTTAGTCTTTTTTCAAATCTGTTTTTCTTCTGTGATGTTATGTTAACTATTCTGGGTCTTTTCCATTCCATATAAACTTTCCAGTTGGTTTGTTGATGTCCATAAAATAACTTTCTGAGATTTTGATTGGGGTCTCAGTAAATCTATATATCAATTTGTGAAGAACTGACATTTTTACAATATTGAATTCTCTTATCCATGAACATGGAATATCTCTCCATTTATTTAGCTTTCTTGATTTCTTTCATCAGAATTTTGTACTTTCCCTCTATAAACATTATACACCTATTTTTAGATATATGTGGTATTTCTAAGTAATTTGATTTTGGAAGGTGCTAATGTTACTGGTGTTTTTTTATTTCAAGTTCCAGTTGTTCATTGCTGATATATAGGAAAGAAACAGTTGACTTTTATATGGTACTCTTGCTACAACCTCCTGAAACCTCACTATAATCACTTATTACTTCCAGGAGGGCATTTTTTTTTGTCAGTTCTTTGGGATTTTCTACATAGATAGGCATGCCATCTGTGATGATGATTTTCTTTTTTCTTCTGAGTGTGTATATCTTTTCTTTTGTTCCTTGTCATATTGTGTTATGTAATATTTCAATCATTATATAGAATAGAAGTGATGGGAAAGAGCATCTTTTCCTTATTCCCAATCTTCGGAGAAAGGCATCTATTTTCTCACCATAAGTATTATGTTAGCTGTAGGGGTCTTTTGTAGATGTTCTTTATCAATTTGAGGAGGTTCCCCTTTATTCCTACTTTACTGAGAATTTTTATTACAAATGAACATTGTATTTATTCATTATTGATTCAGTTTCTTTAATATTTTTAATTGGGTTATTTATCCTTTTATTGCTGGGTTGTAAGAGTTCTCTCTATATGTGATATAAATGCCTTATAAGATACATGATGAGTAAATGTTTTCTACTATTTTGTGGGTTATCTTTTTACTTTCTTGATCATGCCCTTTGAAGCAGAAAAGGTTTTAATTTTGATGAAATCTAATTTGTCTATTTTTTTCTTTTGTTGTATGTGCTTTTTGGTGTTGTGCATAGGAAATTAGTACCTAATCTGAGGTCAGAAAAATTTATTCCTGCGTTTTCTTGTAGCTGTTTTATAGTTTTATCTCTTACATTTAAGTCTTTGATCAATTTTAAGTGAAATTTGGGATATGTGATAAGTCCAACTTCATTCTTTTACATGTAAATATCCAGTTGTCTTATCACATAATATGCTGTTTACAGCCCTCGTCTGCTAATTCTAAGATCTAGGTCATCTGTGGATTTGTTTCTATTGACTGATTTTCCTCATAACCGTAGATTGTTGTATTTTCCTATTCCCTCATATGTACAGTACAGTTTTTTATTATATACTGGACTTTGTGTATGATGCATTGTAGAAACTCCAGATTTGTATTCCCTTCTTTTGAATAATGTTGAGCTTTGTTCTTGCAGCAGTTGAATTCAGGCATGTTACCTTGATCCTGTGACAGCTAGGGTGCAGTACTAAGACCCGCAAGCAGTACCATGACCCGCGTGCGGTATTAATACCCACGCACAATACTAAGACCTGACTGTGGTACTAAGACCTGCGAGCGGTACTGTGACCTGCGCTCAGTACTAATAATACCTGCATGTGTACTAACACCCGTGAACAGTACTAACACCTGCATGCGGTACTATGACCCGCCTATGGTACTCAGACCCACGCGGTGCTAACACCTGTCAGCGGTACTAACACCTGCATGTGGTACTATGACCCGCGCTAGGTACTGTGACCTGCGAGTGGTACTATGACACCACGTGCGTATAGGTGCGTTTTTTTGACGCACCTATAATTTAATTTTATCCTTAGTCATAGAGCTGGTCTCATAAGGTTGGGATATAGTTTTTACTGCTAAGTGTTATCCTTCAGATGTTTCACTAGAAACTCCAAAATGTTTATCAAGCCCCTCTAACTTTGTAAGACTTGAACTCCAAACTCTGTTTCTCCTACAGTGGGCAGAAGTGGAATCTATCTTTAACTGTTCAACATATCCAGCTTTTCAGCTTCTTGAGGTTTTTTTGTTTTTTAAATGAATGAACTTTTTACCTACTCCCGTGTAATTGGGAGACCAGCCAAGGATATGAAGGGAATTTAAATGTAGATTTTTGGGTCCTGGCCCTTCATGGTTTCGCTTTCTGGGGTTTTTTTACCTCTCCATTTCTAACATCCATGACAGTCTCAAACTCTATTCTCCAATTCCTCCAGGTACATAAAACTGGATTTCTGTTTAAGTACTGCCCCATGATGTGCAGACTGGGGATTGTGCTCAGCCACATCAGCTTGGATCTAACCCATTGTTCCCTTATGTCAAGGGTTGGATCCTTTCCAGCCTCTGCCACATTTTGATTGTTCTCCACTGCCTTCCAATAACTGTTTTGAAATATTTTGTTTAGAGCTTATCACCATAGGTGGGAGGATCAGTCAAACACAGGCTACTCCATCATTACTGGAAGCTGGAAGGAGCAGACTAAGGAATTTGAATTTTATTCTGTAGTCGGGAAGAATGTAAATAAGAAGGTAGTATGATGAGTTTATACCTTTGAGGAGATTAGTATGGAATGTGGAAAGGGTTGGTGAGGGGAAAGGCGAGGGGGAAACAGGAGAATCTTGAAGCGTTTAAAGAGACAGGCCTTAATTAGGAGAGAGAAGCAATAGAAATGGAAAAGGATGGTCACATGGGGGAGATTTAAAGAAAGATCAGTTTTTACAAGGGGCCCTGGGGCCTTCTCAACAAGAAAGGATTCTTAGTGACCAGTGAAAATTTTTACCATTCTATCCCAGAGCCTGGCCTGGTGAAACTTCATTCCAGGGTATGTTTACTCATATGATGTTAGTCCTGGAAAAATGGCCTGACTGAATCCCTGGTCTTCAGATCTCCCTGGTTTACCTGAGGGGTATTGAAGAGATCTAATTTGATCTTGAGCCTGGGTCATTTGAGGAACAGCTTGTTGCTTCCAGCCCCAAAGTCTGGGGTAGAATTGGACATGAGCTGGGGAAGGATGGGGTAAAAGGGTTAAAATGCACTGCGCTGCCTGAACATGCCTCAGCAACCTCCGTCTGGGATGTTGTTCTTTTGGATGGTGGACAGCCATTTTTCCTTGATCCTTTCCACTAGCTTTGTTGCTTCCTCTTTCGATAGGTCAAATGGATGATGTACTGGATTATATTTGCACTTTTCACCACAGCAGAGACATTCACAGACATCTTCCTTTGTTGGTAAGTACTCCAGAAATTGAAACAATTTAAAGGACAATTTTGTCTAATGGCAAGGTATAAATAGGAAGGGGCTGAAATCCCCTTGAGGGGCTCAAACCTCATCTCAAGCCAGAGACGTAAGTGCAAGAATATTAATTGGAACATTTTTGGTAAGTTAGTCTATGAAATTTGCTCTTCTAGTAAATATTTATTGAATGAATTGAGCAAGTATTGTTAAAGGTACTGGCAATATAGTAATGAACAAGACAGACACAGTTGCTCAATTAATGGAGTTGGTAAGGAAGTATTCATGTGTTAAAAAGGGAACAAACGGTGGGCAGGAGTGTAATCCTAGCACTGAGGATGAGGCAGGTGGATGCCTTGCACTCAGGAGTTTAAGACCAGCCTGAGCAAAAGCGAGACCCCAGCTCTACTAAAAATAGAAAAACTCACTAGAAGTTGTGGCTGGTGCTTATAGTCCCAGCTACTTGGGAGGCTAAGGCAAGAGGACTGCTGAAGCCCAAGAGTTTGAGGTTGCTGTGAGCTCTGACACTATAGCACTCTATCCAGGGCAATAGAGTGAGATTCTGTCTCAAAAAATAAATAAATAATTGAATTTAAAAAATCAATTTAAAAGGAAAAAAATAGTACACAAAAAAAATACAGTTAAAAACTAAGTTTTGGAGGGCATGGTGGCACATGCCTGTATTCCCAGCTACTCAGTAGTCTATGGTGGGACACTCACATAGACTCCCAGATGGGAGCCCAGGAGTTCAAGACCTATCTGGACAACAAAGCAATAGCCTATCTCTAAAAGAAGCAAACAAGACAAAACAAAAACTGTTTTTTTCCAACAGTTCATTCATTCTCACCATAACCACTACTCATAGTTGCGAGTACAAATTTTGTATGTGGGCTTGGTGCCTGTGGCTCAAGTGGCTAAGGTGCCAGCCACATACACCTAAGGTGGCAGGTTCGAATCCAGCCTGGGCACACCCAAAAAACAACAACAACAACAACAATGACGGCTGCAACCAAAAAATAGCTTGGCATTGTGGTGGGTGCCTGTGGTCCCAGCTACTTAGGAGGCTGAGGCAAGAGAATCATTTAAGCCAGAGAATCACTTAAGCCCAAGAATTGCTTTAAGCTGTGACATCACGGCACTCTACCCAGGGTGACAGCTTGAGACTCTATCTCAAAAAAAAAAAGAAAAGAAAAATATGTATACAACCCTTACTCCTAGACAAGACATCTCTTTCACACTGGAGAGGTTTCCCACTTATGCTCCAAGGAGAGGCTTTAGAGTCGAATAGCAGCTCCCAGCTTATTTTGATACCATATGCTATGGGTCAGCTGGCATCCCAAGGAAATTTCTCATGTGGCAGACATAATCCAACCCTACAGTCATCTGACACTCAGACTTCTTCCACTCTCTCAGACTTAAGGCCTACTCAATCTTAAGGTCATTTCTTCATCTGACTCTGCATCCCTGCAGAGGGCCCTCACCCACCAAAGGGTAACCTTTAGAAACTTTGGAGAGGTTTGTTTGGACCTACTGAAGTTGAGATGATGCCAAGTAAATAGTAAGAAAAATTCTGGGGTATATGCTGGTGAGAAACAGAGGAAAATTTGGAGGGAGAGAAAGCCCTTGTCCCCCACTGGGACCTTTTTCATACTTCCCTTGTACCACTGCTGATGGGCTCAATGTACTTGTCTTAGCTCTCCGACTTGATCAGAAACCTCTAAGGGCAAGGATATGTTTCAGCTCGCTTTGGTTTCCCTGACTGCTCAGCACATACCTTTCACCTTATGGTTTTTCAGTAGAATTTTCCCAGCTGAACAAGTCAGTAAAACAGTGACTCACTCAATAAGCCAGTGGTTATCTTTGAGTCCACATGTGGGGCAGGAAAAAAGCTTGATGAAAGAAATTAAAAGAAAATATAATTGTTGTTAACAGTAAGATAAAGTCTTGAGATTCTGGTTTTGCTACCTAGAAAAACCTCAAAAAAAACCCCCAAAACCTAATTTTAACCAGTCCTGGGAAGGTCATTGGGCTGAATCAGCTTCCTTTGTTCCTCTCTGGATACTTATGCCACTTTTCTACCCATGGAACAAATCAATTTGGTTGAGATTCTGCTATAACCAACTGATTTCCCTTGCTCCAGACACCTTCAAAGCATGGACAGGGGAATGGAATGCAGAGTTCCTCTGGAGGGCAGCACCCAAGCAGGCCCGTCTGGAGGCCACCCCTAATGAAATCTGCTTCTCTGGTTTGTCACTGGAGATGCCAGAAGATTAGGAGGTAGGGGGCTTTTGAAAGCTGCATCAGTGTGGCTGAGAGACATCGGAAAGAACCCAAAGAATCCAAAAGAGGGCTGCCTTTTTCTCAGGCTGGCCAGACAGTCCAGAAGGACCATGCAGGATCTAATATGCACACTCATCCCAGAAGCCCTAACTTCATAGCCTGGGGCAGGCCCTGCCATACACTCCGAGGGTGTGACTGTGGAGAATCCGGCTCCCATATTCATGTTCATGTGGAGGTGCAACCTTGGTCTAGAAAGAAAGTACACACAGAAGTTCCACTTCTAGGTATTTACGCTAAGGAAACATTGGAGGTTTACTTACAGCTCTGCTGTAGTAGCCAAACATTGTAACCAGCTCCATTCACGGAGCCTGAGCAGATGCCATTGTGCTGGCATGTAGCCATTAAGAAAAGTGAGGTGGCTAAGGGTGGTGGCTCACCCCTATAATTCCAACACTTTGGGAGGCCTAGGTGGCAGGATCTCTTGAGGCTAGGAGTTTAAGACCACCCTGGGTAACATAGCAAGACTCGGTCTTTACAAAAACAGTTAAAAAAATTAGCCAGGTATGGTGTCATATACATGTGGTCCCAGCTATTAATACTTGAGAGGCTGTGGTGACAGGACTGCTTGAGCCCAGGAGTTTGAGGTTACAGTGAACTGCGATTGCACCACTGCATTTCAATGTGTCTGGAGAGAGAGAGAGAGAGAGGTGCAAGAGGCAGCCCTTCCTAGACTGGTATGAGATAATCCCTGAGGTATGCTGTTAATTATGTGTGTACTAGGATGAAACAAGGTGTAGGGAGAGGGTGAATAGAGCACTACTGTGTGTGTATGGGCAGTGGTGAAGGAGGTCATGTACCTGCATGATAGATATGCCTAGCCCTGGTCCACTTCCTGAAGGGTGCAGAGGTAACTGATGATGTTTTGCTTTTAGAAATGGGACTAGACAGCAGGGGGTAGGTGTTGTCTATCTTTTGAAGTTTTAGAATTTTTAAAACTATGTGCATGCATGACCTATTTTTTAAAATATGTCCTTTGTGTCGTAAATGAAGGAGCTGCAGTGTGACAGATGCCCCTGGGGTTACCGTGTGTCTTGTGTTTGTGTTTGAGCTTGCCACATTCATTTGCTTTTCCCCTTGGGGCCAGCAAGTACTTGTTTTGAAAACAAAAGTTCCTCCATTATTACTCATCAGAGTGTTCAAGTGTGGGAGAATCGCACCTCTGTTCTTTCAGCCCCTCTCCTTTCTGGCTGTGAAACATGATCAGTCTTGCCATGAAAGTACCTTCTAACTGCTGAGGAAATATTCGGGAGGTGCATAAGGGAGGTGAAGGCACAGGCCAGGAGGCCTTGATGAGGAAAGAGAAGTGGGTGGGGCTGCTGGTGAGTTGGGGGGTGGGTGGGGGTTCTGTGTGAGAGTAAAAGGGCCCTGGAATGACTGGCTAGAAATTGCTCCTTCTTACTTTCGGCTTCCTTATCTGGGGAGGATGCAGGGAAGGATTTACTTTTCTGAGCTCTCAGACTAGCACAGGTGGTCTTCTCCCTCATAGCATCATGCTTTAAGGATACCTAGGATTTGTTTGAATGGGCTTTAGTAAGACAAGCCGGCACAGAAATGATTGTCATGAATGGAGAAGTGTTTATACTCACAGATCCCTCAAAAAAGGATACAAAGCACATTCACTCAAGGCACACTGGGGTCAATCAGGAGGCAAACGGAGGAAAAGCATGAGAGGCCTTTGTGGTGGGGTTTACAAGAAAGGAAGGAAAAAGTGAGACAGAATAAGCAGGCCTGAGGGTGGCTCCTTTGAATAATTTCAGTGGGCTTTGGGTTGTAGGGCAATGTCTGGTTGTCTGTAGGGAGCCCTGGGGTGACTGGGGCAAGTGGATAGTGGTATGAGAGCCCAGTAGAGATGGCTGGAGTTTTGGCTCTGGATTGGTTGGTTTGCATAAGGAAGTGGTGCTGGCAGGGGAGTTCTTTACCACCTCTAGGAATTGGCTCATCATGGGAGGGTCAGTCCCTCTAGAGTCAGCAAGGCCCCAAGGAATCAAAGAATCAGAATGTAGAAAAACAAAAGATGTGGTGCATGTGTCTCAGGACTGCCTAACTTAGTTGCGCAGATTATTCACAGCATAAATTATCTGGCCAAGGAGGTGAGTGAGCTGAAATCCAGACCAAGCTCAGCCTGCCATCCCATGTGCCCACAGAGCTGCTTCTAGTTGAAGGAGGTAGCTTTTTTTTAATACCTTCAAAGGCACCGTGTGGGCCAGCAGAGCCCCACTATGGCAGTAGTCTCAGGTTGATAGTTTATATTCTTTTTCATCAGTGGTTCTCAACCTTCCTAAAGCCTTTAATACAGTTCCTGTGGGTCGCGACCCACAGGTTGAGAACCGCTGCTTTTGATTAATGCCTGTTTCCCTGAGTGCATCCTTATTGCAAAGATGGCAGAATCTTCTCTGTTTCCCACTGAATTGGAAGTCCAAGAAGGCAGGGGATCGGTCTTCTCTGTTCCCTTTGTCTCCCTAATGCTTAGCACAAGCTGGCACATACAGGTGCCGGGTGTTTGTGGGACAAAGAAATTAATGGGGTCAAGGTTAGGACTTCAAACTCCAGAATTGTATGTTACCTGTACCTTGAACTTTTTTTTTTCTTTTTGGCACCAAAAAGATCAAGATCTGTAGCATTCCCCTTTTCTCCTACCTGGCAAAAGTTGGGCTTCTGTCCCTGCCTCTATTTGGACCAAATAGACAGACAAGAAGAGGGGAGGGGGCTTTTATACTCAGTCTGGAGATTCTTTGTCAGCTCCGCCCTGCAGTAATCCCCCCCCCCACCCCGCTGTTTATAACTTCTTGGACAAGAGTGAGGAGTGATGCTTCTGCAGGTAGCAACTAGTCTTCAGAGCCTACAGGCTGCAGCTGGAGCCCCAACTCCCACCTACATGAGCACAATGTGACAGGAAGCACCAGCCTTTGCTAGGCAAGGGCCACAGGGAGATTGCTGGAGACAACCTGCCTTCCTGGTTTCTGTTGGCAACAAAAGAAAACATAAACCAGCTTTCAAAGAGAGGCCTTAGGATTGTGCCATGAGTGTGTACACACATGTGTATATGAATACTTGTGCATACCTTCAAGGATGGTGGAAGGAAGAATATGGGGACCTGGCAGTCCTGTCTGTGTGTGTGGGCAGGACGAGTATCCTTGCTGCCCACCTGGTCTCGCCCTTCATAACCGTAACATTGCTAAGAGCCTAACAGAACTTGTGCCTTCTTATCTCCCTCCAGGTTTCCATTCTATTATGAACTAAAGATAGCATTTGTAGCCTGGCTGCTGTCTCCCTACACAAAAGGCTCCAGCCTCCTGTACAGGAAGTTTGTACATCCCACACTATCTTCAAAAGAAAAGGTAATTTATTCTGTTCTGCCTTTCACTCCTTCCAGCAAGAGAAAAAATAAGCAATAAGCAGAGAGGACAGATTATTTTATTGCAGGAGACTGCGTGTTTGACTGTTACTTACTTCCAACAAGTTATTCATTCTAATCTTTTTTTAAGTTTATTGTTGGGACATGTTTAGAAATGGTGAGATTATCTAAAAGATGTTATTTATCATTATTTATTGGAAAACATTTCCATAAACAGAAACAAAGGAAAGAAAAAAAAATCCACTCACAATTTAATTCCCCTAAACTGAATTTTAGCCCCCATCCTTTTGTAGAAGGGTTTTTTACATAGACTATTTAAAGTTTTACATAGAATTTAAAAGAAAAATACTTTAAAAGCTTAACATAAAGTATTTGTATTCTGAGATCTTAAACATACTTACTCATAATCCATTTCTGTTTACTCTTCATTATGACCCATGATAAAAGAAGTATTCCTTCACTGCTGGATATTTAGATTATCTCTATTTTTTTCTGTTACAGATGATTCTGCATTGAATATTACTGTTCGTGGAGTTTAATTCTATTGATTATCTTAGAGTAAATTCCCAAGATAAGAATTATTGTTGAAAGATTCCAACATTGTATAATTTATTAGTTATATTACATTCTAAACTGTGTGGGAAGGTTCTTAAACATAAAATAGGAGCACTATAGATGACTTGATAGATTAATTTCTATTTTTTCTGGAAGTTGAATATTTTGGGCTTCTTCTAGGGGAAGGCTTTGGGGAACAAATCAAATAGATGAGCAGGCTGTTATAGACATTTCTAGAAATTAGGAACTAGAATCACAGCAGTTCCTGTCTCATTCACTTTGAGGAATGGGTCCCTGTCTCAACCTGGTTATCACATCTCTACTCTTCCTACTTCCCTTCCTCCAAACGCCATTTTCCCTTGAAGCTGCCAATGTAATTGCCATTAAAATGAAGGTGACTGACTCTTAAGAGCTACCAAGAGTCACTTCCAGAGTCCAGGGAAGTGGTGTCACAGTTAGAGCGTGGATGCTGTGACTTGACATCCCAGCTTCCTGGGGAAGCCTTCGATGGGAGAATCAGGGAACTGAAGGGGGGGTGCTGACTCCACCTGTATATCTCAAAGCAAAGGAAATGCACTCACTCATGTGCTGATCTTCAGACAGGCTGAGGTCATTTTCTTAAAACAATGACAATATAACAACCCCAAACAAACAAAAGGATTAGGCCAGAGTTGATCCAAATTTGAACTTAAACCAGTACTTGACTTTGGTCCCTAAAGGAGATGTCAGTCTTGTTTCCTTCCTCACCCTTACCTTGATTTATGACAAGGGACAACTTCTGATTTCAACTTTTATTTGAACATTTCTAACATGAATAGAACTATTCATTTCTTCCTTATCAAATAACACATTTCTCTCAGCATTCTAGTTCCTCCTGTGATATACACATGGGGCAATGTTTGATTTAGAGTTAAATAACATAAACAGAATTTTAGAACCACAAGGACCTATCTTCTCAAGATAAGGAAGATGACAAGGTTATCACTCATTGAAACGAGCCACTGTGTTAGATGCTTTCCTGGACTTCCCTCATTTACTCTTCATCATAGTCCATGAGTTAGGTGTTATCATTATCTTAGTTTTTCAGAAGACAAAACTATGTGTACAGAGGCTGAGTACTCGCCAAGGTTTGACAGCCAGTTAGTAGCAGGTGTAAGGGTACAAGCTCAATTCTTGGCATTCTCTGCACCCCAAGTTCTTTCAGTGTCTTCTTAAGCAGCTATTTGTAAAATTGCAGGCCGATTGTCCACATCCAGGACCCCCTACAGCCTCCCTGGAAGAGTAATGGGTGTTAGAAACAATTCCAGAACATTGCTGGCGCAGAAAGTTGCTGTTTTTTCAGAGTTCCCTTTTCTACTCCTCGGTGTCTCTGCCGTTTCTCCTTCCTCCTATCTACACACATGCTCAAAGTGCCTGTGGCTTTTCAGGCCCAGTGAGAATCAGTGATTGGGCAAGCTGCCATGCCCAGCAATCAGAAAGAAAAGAGAATAGAGATTTAGTTTCACCTTCCAATTCAGTGTGCCTCTGTTTTTCCTTTGATAGGAAATCGATGATTGCCTGGTCCAAGCAAAAGACCGAAGTTATGATGCCCTTGTGCACTTTGGGAAGCGGGGCTTGAACGTGGCAGCCACGGCGGCAGTGATGGCCGCTTCCAAGGTACTGTGCCAGGTCCTGAATGCCATGGCTGTGCAAGCATCCCCATTCCTCCCTCCAGTCCACCCTGCTCATCACCCATGCGACTGTACAGAACAGCTTGTGGATCAGTCAGTGGTTCCTTGTCTTTTGAAAGGGCTCCCTTTGAAAATCTGATGTAAAAAATGGTGAATCTTGGCCCAGAAAATTCTCACACCACACACACACACACAAAGACACATTCACATGTGTAAACTCACCTGTGGGGCCCACATTAAGTATTTTTAACTTACTTAGAGCTTAGGCCTTGGAAAAAGAGAAGGGGGGTGGAGGGAGGAAGGGAGAGAGTGCTTCTCTGTAATTTCCTGGGGTACACAGGGAGAGTCTCTAGATAGGGGGCAAGTGGATAGACTCCAACCTCATGTGGCCCAGCAGATCCAGGGAGAGGGACCTAGGGTCCAAGAGTGTAAGCTGAGTGTTTGGAACATAGGGTGTGGTGATGCGCTTAGCAGTAGCAAATCACATGGAGGAGGTTTGAAATAATCACTGGTCTTTGGGATATTATGATGTGAGCATTTGTTTTTATCTTTTCCATCTAGCCCTTTTCAAAACTATGCTCCTTCCTCCCTTCTCACATCACACTCTCTTATTGTGTAGATTTCTCATTATTACTCAGACCTGAAAGATTAAATTTGTCAGACATTTCTTTTCAGGGTGAATTCAGCAGATTGCCTTCGTGTTTCCGGGTGCCCTCATCCCCTTCCCCAAACCAAATGTGGAGTAGGGATCTACATTTGGCTGGTAGAGGAAAGGCAGTCTTGTAGTGTTTGGGAAGATACAGTGGTTGAGAGGTGAGCTGTATTAGCAAAGGCGTGGTGAAAGTCCCTGATGGTAGTTTGAAGATTTGGGGGAAAGAGGTGCTGAGGCTGTAAAAAGGTTCACAAGAGGAAAGTTAATGTGGTTATTGGTGTTCTGTGGATGGCAGGGTGGAGGGTGCTGAGAGCCAGCTGCTCAGGGGACCAAGCTGTGTTTTCTGGGCCCTGAACCAGGGAGAAGCACATTAGGAGAATTTCTGGAGGCAGGACTCAGCACACAGGGCTGTAAAGTGCCTTCCACTGAGGCCAAGGAGTTCGATATAAAAAGCCTGGGTGAGAGGGAAGGAGAACTTAAAAGGAATGATTCCTATTTCAGACAAGAACAGCTCCTTCTATAACACAACTGTAGTGAAGTGTCCCACTGTTACATACAGCTGGTCCCTGCC